CAGAAGAGGATTGGGAGAATGTCATATGGTCAGATGAAACCAAAATAGAACTTTTTGGTAAAAACTCAACTAGACGTGTTGGGAGGAGAAAGAAGGCCGAGTTGCATCCAAAGAACACCATACCTACTGTGAAACATGGGGGTGGAAACATCATGCTTTGGGGCTGTTTTTCTGCAAAGGGACCAGGACGACTGATCTGTGTAAAGGAAAGAATGCATGGGGCCATGTATCGTGAGATTTTGAGTGACAACCTCCTTCCATCAGCAAGGGCATTGAAGATGAAACGTGGCTGGGTCTTTCAGCATGACAATGATCCCAAACACACCGCCCGGGCAACGAAGGAGTGAGAAGAAGAAGAATTTCAAGGTCCTGGAGTGGCCTAGCCAGTCTCCAGATCTCAACCCCATAGAAAATCTTTGGAGGGAGTTGAAATTCCGTGTTGCCCAGCGACAGCCTCAAAACATCACTGCTCTAGAGGAGATCTGCATGGAGGAATGGGCCAAAATACCAGCAACAGTGTGTGAAAACCTTGTGAAGACTTACAGAAAACGTTTGACCTCTGTCATTGCCAACAAAGGGTATATTACAAAGTATTGAGATGAACTTTTGTTATTGACCAAATACTTATTTTCCACCATAATTTGCAAATAAAGTCTTTAAAAATCAGACAATGTGATTTTCTGGATTTTTTTCCCCCTCATTTTGTCTCTCATAGTTGAGGTATACCTAGGAGGAAAATTACAGGCCTCTCTCATCTTTTTAAGTGGGAGAACTTGCACAATTGCTGCTACTTTATTACATTACCCGTTACTTGTTAGACGCTTTTACCCAAAGCGACTTACAAACTCAATACTGTGGGCAATCCCCACAGGAGCATTTTGGGGTAAAGTGTCTTGCCCAGACACAACGATATGCTGACTGCAGTGGGGTTTGAACCTGTGACCATCTGAACCCCAGACCAATGCTCTATCTACTGCGCCACGCGCCGCCACGCCAGTATTATCCAAGATAAAACTGCTTTCAACTGTATAATGCATTGCTATTTAGAGGCACTGGTCACAGACAAATCCAAAGAATTGCACTAAAAACCCAGTTTCAGTCAGGCTGAAATGTTACATTGTAAACTCATTTAGCAAATAGTTTAAGTTCAAGTACTAGACAGCTGTGGGCAACAGATTTACTGGCCGACAGAGAGCCTTGGCAGCCTAGGAGTTAAGGTGCCGACCATGCCAAAAGAGCAATTTCCCTTAATGTGTCTAGACTAAGAGATTGTCACTTGCACGTCAGTCCCAATCTCGATTGATAGTCATTAAAAGCATAGGAATCCATGCCACTATTGGGACAGGATTTCAGATCTTTTGTGTCTGTTTCAGAGTGTCCTTCATTAGTATCAGACATCAGCTGCTTGTAGGGGTCTCAGTCAGGTCAGCCAGTTTAGAGGGGGATCAGGTGGTTCACAGAGTGTCCATGTCTGTTAGCTGTCAAGCTAGCAGGCTATCATTTCACAGGGAGGCCACCGAGGCCATGCTTAGCACCCAGTGGTATGCTTTAATCACTGCTCAGTACCAACGACAGACTGTACCTGAAAATAGAAAGATGATGTGACTCCTGGCGTTGGCGTAAGTGTGTTTCTGTATGTTTACATATCATCTCCAGGTGCTCATTTCAACAGTTCCACTCATATGCAGTTGTAAAAGTGAGAAGTGTGTTTGGGAGCAGCCCAGATGGCGTTTTAATAGTCACATTCCACCAAACGTTGTAGAGGAGATAAGCTGCAAATGGACTGTGCTTGTAAAATGCTATTCATAAGATGAAGTAAGAGTTATTTTAAGAGGTAAACAAACAACTGTCGCTGAAAAATGAGAGGGAGAAAGGGAATGGCATCATGGCATGATGTCCCCAAAGATGGCCGGGTTATACTTGCTGCCTGCAGGCATCAGTGTTTGACCAGCAGTATCACTGAAAGTGTTATGTTTGTCCCATGACTTAGCATTTAGGTAATGAGCTAAGGATGACACTAGATGGAAAGGGAAGGCATCAAGGAGTATCAGCTTTCAACAGTCTGTTACTCATATCACAAAGCAGATCTGAATTGCTAATATCTAATGTAGTAATTGCAGGTTCTTTTTACTTTTTGTACATTGGTTTGTTGTCATCATGTTGACAGGGTCATCAGACTGGATCTGAGTTGCTAAACAGAACACCAGATGCCTAACATAATATCCTAATGTCAAATGAGATATGATATTGCAAAATTCCTAATACCTCCACTCATAAATTAAACATAAAGATGAAAGACACCGTAGTGCTAATACTGAGCTTCAATTTCTTAAGAGGAATTCTCCCCATCTAAGTTCTTGGCAGATGTACAGTCCAGATCAAGAGTATATTTGGCTCCATTGAGCAGCTTCTCAGAGTTCTTACTTCAGATCAAGCTGATCTCCTGGTTGCTCAGTCGGCTCAGCACTGATACCTCTGTTTGCACATTAGAAAAGGATCTGACAGAACATCAGGCAGGTTTAGAGAGGGTTTGTTTAAGCGACCTTAACAGGTGTACATTATTCTTTCTCCCTATCCACATGCCTCTCTTAATGTCAAGCTCTTCCTCTTTCCCTCTGTCCTTTGTTCCCCTGTGAGTTCCTCCCTTAAACTTTCGATGTAGCCCTGTTTCCAGTGTCGGTTTCCCTTCTTCATTTACTCCCCTACTCTTCACCTTCCTTCCAGTCCTTTGTTTTTCATTTCCTTGCTCCCTTCCTCCATTGATAGTCAAGGACAGCATAAGCAGCGAGGAGGACTTTGTGTCTCCACTATCTGGCCTTTTTTCATACTTGCACAACAACACGTACTTGTATCTAAACAGTTGAAGTCATCGTGTTGCTAATACAAAAAGTGATTTTGAAAAGTTGATACAACAAAGGGAATTTATTCTCCAGAGAAGACAGATATCACTTTTACCTTGTTTTGCATTGTGGTACATTTAAAGGCCTCCGAGTACAAGGATAACCCTCTGAGGTCTGAGGGGCCCTCTGTGAGAAGCCCCTTGGCTCCGGCCCCGTTGGCTCAGTCTGTAATCCGTCTTTTATGATACCCCCACTACAATCCTAGTTGATCCTCCCTTACCCTCTCCCTAGTAGGTGAATGGACAGCACAGCAGTGTGAGAGTCTAAATGAAGGAGGCAATGTAGCGAATGGAAACCATGACATAGCCTACTGGTAACTGGTTCAGCTTGTCATACACGATTCCTGGGCTATGTTTTGATGCAGTTATTTCAACAACATAAGCCCTATTCCAACTAAAAAAACAACAACCCACGTACACCCTTAAGTTATATTCTAATACACAATACTTTCAGCTCACGGATCAGTCAAACAAAAATGAAACGCTCTTTGTTAGTCTCTCTTCTGTTACTTCTATCTCAATGATGGATCAAAAGAAAGACTAAGTAAGTACCAGTTATAAAAAAAGAAGAAAGAGGATAATTGATTTCCACTATTTACTGATCTATCTCTCCAAAGTGGGACACAAGAAAAGAAACAGAAAGGCATACTCCTCCAGTGAGAGAGGGAAAATAAGTCTCGCTTACTTTTAGCGGCTTTTCCCAAGCGCTTTAGATTTCATGATTTTTAAATGGTGTTGCTAATATTTTGCCCATCTCCATTTACATACATGAGGAAGGCCAGTATTTTAAAACACCAGAGCTCTTACTGAAAGCAGCTGCCGGAAACCAACCAGGATTCCAAAATCCACTCTCCATATTGATATTACCATTCAAAGCTGTTTAGATAGAGCTTTCTTTAAGCGCTCTCCATTCTCCAGCTAGTATGTTGCTAGATTCACCGCTGCTATTCAAGGAGGGATTGCGAACACATTAGAAAGGGTATTACTCTTGACGTTGGAGCTTGCACAAAGGCAAGACTCTTTAAGGTAATTGAACACACTGGGCTTTTGGAATGGCATATGATTGCCTACTTTTTGGATGTACAGGTTTTTTGCAGCAGGGTACATCTTATTATAATGGTTTCATAAACAGTGGGTGGCTAGTCTCCACTGAAAACGGCAGGGGCAGCTTTAACTTGAAGAGGTTTCCTGTTCCATTTTTTGCTATGGACTTTATGTGTTCTCTCCAGTGTGAAGTTTTTTATGTCCAAAATTGAAAGAAATTGTTTTTTCCTTCTTTTTTAACACCCATGTTGGCTCTTCGGAAATGCTGCAGTTATATCTCAGTTTCATTCTGTATCAAACCAAAGAGGATATATAAAGAAACATCAATAAATTGTACTTTTCATCAAGGATTTTCACAGGTCAATTACTGGTGCTGTGTGTCTGTTGAATTGTCCTCAGGATTATTTCTAATGGCTGCGTAGTGAACAACCTCTTCTGGGAGGTGGTGTATGGTAATTAAGCAAGCATACCTACAATACATTATTAATATGCTAGCATATTCAATGGACTAATTATTTAAATCTCCATGCATTCAGTTTGGAATATATGTGGTTAAAAGAGTTTGGATTTCTATTTTTTATATGCAGTAAATAACATCAAGCTTGTGTTGTTGTATATGCTTGCATCAGGCTCGTGTCAGCCTGTTTGCAAAACTATTTTTTGTTATGCCCTCATTAAAATGTTTGATCAGAACCGCAGCCCTACTCCCCCCGTTTCTCCATTTCTGCTCGCTCTCTCATTCTCATGTGTTTTTGATGTGGAATTCAAAGCGGCTGCAAATTTATTTTTTATCTGGCACACATTTGTGCAGAGCGTCCGGCCCACTGCTTCTATGCAAAGTGGGTTGAAGGAGAATAGTAATGACTCCGGCCTTATGGGACTCCAAATGAGTGAAGTTCAAACGCAGCCTTTACATCACAGCGTCTGTCAATCCAACCGGGCCAAGGCCAGGTCTGCAAGCAAGCAGAGCTAGCTAAATAGTGTGTTGCTCGTGTGTGTGTTTATGTGTGCATGTGTGTGTGTCTGTATGTTGTTAAGCCAGAGGATGGTGTGTGGGGGGGAGGGGGGGGGCTGTACTTTGAGGGATGGCAGGATCAAAGCACCCAGGCTTGGTGCAGTGCAGAACAGTCTGCTCCTCTGCATACCTACCCTTTGTCAGCTCTTAACTGCCAAGATAGAGCTCTGGAAACCACATGAAAGAGATTTTAAAATAACACTGCTCATGCCCAAATTAGTAAATGAAATCTGATAAGATATGTGTAAAGATGTTCGCAGAAGATCCACGTGTTAAGGATGTGTTGATGGCAACATGTGTCTCATTTTTGACACCTCTTAAACGCATTTGGAGGTTTGTGTGTTTGTTCGAGGACAACACTGCATTACTCAACTGTAACAACAGGGCTCAATATAGAAACCAGCTACAGTGCAAGCAAGCTTTTATTAAAAGAAAGTTTTAATCAATAGACACATATTTTCTCCCGAGTCCTGTTGTACATAACCAGTTCAGTCTGAAGTTTGAGGTTCTGTGACAGATGATTTTAATCATCACATTTAGTGGGCATTTTCTACAATCACATTCAGATGTATTCAGGGAACTGGGTATTAGCTTGGCTTGGAGAAAAGAAAAATTTAAGTAGTTTTCCGTGGAAAATATTATTCACTAGCCAATTACTCCTACTTTAATACGGGGTCTGGGCAACAGCTGATCTAGCCAGTGATACAATTCAGCTCAACAAGCGGGTTCTATTAGTTTCAACAGATGTTTCATGTAATTGGATTAATGTTTTCATCTACATTTCTATGCTGTTTGTGTAAATGTAGATCTCAGTCAAATAAGTTAACATTTCCATAAACATATAGGTATTTGCAAACCTGTGAGTTTGTGTGTTTTGTTAGGAACAGAGCATTGGTGCAGTGAATCTTTTGCTGCCGTGAGAATAGTTAGAGCTTCTCTGTAAACAAATGAGTCGGACACGCTCTATACATTTCTCAAATGTTGCCTCTTTTTTTTTATTTAGGTTTGATGGAAACTTCAATACCAACGTCTCTAAGACCATCTGCTGCGACAGACTTTCCCCCAATGTCAACAGCCGAGCGTTCAACCCTGGACGGGACCTCAACTCAGGTTTGTTAGACTGGCACACACTCACTTGTTTGAAACAAATGAAACACAGGCACGAAGATTGTGTTTAAACTTCCATCCATTGTGCTTTTACTATGGACTAATTTAACAACTATTTCCATGACAACCACTGTTTAATTAAAAATGTGTATTATCTTTTCTATTCGTCTTATCTTCTGAAATGTTAGAGAGGACATTGATCTGAGAGGGAAATAATTAGCTCTGCGTGTTTAAAGAGATGTTTTTACGGTCTACTCTGAGCTCCCTCGCTCACACTTTCTGCTCTCCTCTCTCTCTCATGTTTTCCCTCCGCTTTGATTTTATAATGATTTTTACAGCCTGAGATCAAACGCGCTTTGTTTGACTTTGAACTTTGCCTGCAGTTCTTTCAGGTAGTGTATGTTTTCACTATCCTGTTGTTCAGGGACTTGTTTCTGTCCTCACTTAAACTCAAATGGCCCCTAAATTGAGGCTTTTACATGCCATTATAGTACATATATTTAACCTCAAAATCTCCTGAGAAAGCGATTTGATGGTGTTCTTACTGCTACCTTATATAGAATATTACCCACTATGATACCCAATGTAAAATCCACTGGTGTCTGCACCACATATGTTGGCCGGCCTGCACATGATTTTAAAGAAAATGGTCAAATCGAATAAAAAGCAGACGAAAGCCTACTTTTCTCTGCTGGTCTTTCTGTTCTGATGCCATGGCCTGGTTAGGGGTGTGTTTCCTCTGCTTCCAGAGAAGAAATATCAAGCTGTTTTACAAGCGTTTGTGTCATATCCCGGCTGCATTTTCCTGGAATATTGAACTGTTTTCCCTGTGTCTCTTAAACCTTTAGCTTCAGTCCAGCACACATTGTAAAAACAATGGCAGTTCATTCCATTTGTGATCGTTTGATCACAAGAAATAAGTATAGTTCTGTAAGGTACTCAAGTAAGGAGTTTTCAAATGCCCAAAATGTTTCTACAAAATTAATCAATTTGGAAGGATGTTGTTTATTGTGCCAAGCACTGCAGTTGTCTGCCCCAAAAGTAATCTATTTCAGAAACACTTCCATCAGCCAAAGTCAAATAAAAATCAAGCTTCAAATACCAAAACATTTCCTTTTAACTTCATGTTGTGTTTTCCTATAGCATTGTCATGCAGTGCTTGTGCCCTTATCAATGTTTTCTCTAACCAAGCTTTAATATTTGAGAAACCAAAACCTCTGTTTCTACTCAAATGCCTAAACCTAACATTTGATTTTCAGAACTTGTTGACAACGCTTTATTGCATAGAAGGACGAATTTAGTTTCACTTTAAGATTGAATTTAGAGGTAAAGAGTTATTAAACAGAATGTGCCTTGCCAGCTTGCAAAAGTTATTATTACGGGTGCAATTATCCTTAAAGCATTCTTCACAATCTTGGAGGGACTGTTTCCAGTCATAACTATATTTAAAATTAAGGGTTGGATCATCAAACAGTTCCTGAACACACACGTTAGGTGTGTTGTTGACACTAGTTCATATGAAATATACTGAAGTCTTTACTCCTCAATACAACCCTGGATATTGAACTTGCCCCCTCCCTTCCCTATCTACAGGATACCTTAAACATCATTTGTTCTTCTTCTGGTGAACCGCTCCTATTTTTTTCCAGACATACCAGTATTCTGCTCCTCTTTCTGCAAACCATTCATAATGACTGCCATTCATAACACGTCACCATCGGCTGGGTGTTATTTTCCTTGCAAGCTAGTCACGGCGAGTTCAAGTTACCCCTCTCCTCTCCCTGTCCCTCACACTCAGCCCTCCTTGACCCCCATGTTCCCAGCGTATTCATTCTCTCCCATTTGTCTCAGCCCAGCCTAAACAAGCAGCTAGAGAGGGGAAAAAGGGAGGGAGAGATAATTGAGAGGGAGAGAATGATGAATGAAGGGGAAGAAAGAAAAGTCGAGAGCTGATTGATATAGAGTAATTTTATCAAGATTGTATTTTTCATCATCTTTCATTTTACTTTTTTAAGGGGGGGAGGGTGGATGTGGGAGGCATCAATAGTGATACCAGCAGGTGGGAGTGAAAAGCCAAGTAGATGAGAGGTGACAGTCGGTGGAGTGCTGTGTGACTATAGGACTAGTTTGTTTCATCTTTTTTCGTCCATCCATTTTCTTCCTTTTTGCAGCCTTCATCCTATCATGTGCAATTTCATTCATTTCCCTGGCTTAGACATGTTGTGTCAACTTATAGTTATATCTTTCATGAAGTAAACTGTATGTGCACACTTACACATACATATCTTTTTTCGAAAAACTCAGTTTTGTCACATTGAGCTGTATCACAATGCCAAGATATCTGGTTTTGTAAGTGTCAAGATAGGAAACAAACTGGAACAGAGCTCCAGAAATATGTGAAAAATTGCAAATGCTTTGTAATTTTTGCAGATATCTATAGTTTCCCAGATGATATATCATTCACACTTTGGCTTTTTCCCATAGTGGCAGCATAAGGTTCATGCTCCTATTGAGTGAATTATCTCTACAACTATTGGATAGATTGCCAGGACAATCATGTTTCCATCTCCGTCCGAATTATGACACTTTGGTTTATGACGAATAACCTGCAAAACTATTGACATTCCCATTATCATGAGTGGTTCTGTGTTTTTTGTAAGTCAGAAAACCATGAACATCCCGAGCTCCAAGCACCTTTGCGCCACAGTATAACCTTACAGAGCTTCTAGCATGGCTGTGGACTCTTAAGTCTTGTTTATCCAGTCATACATGGAGAAAAATGGAATAACAAGAAACTATGTTGGAATGTTAGCTTATTTACTTTTACACTTGGGTGACACTTTGAGGGAATTCTTCAAATGTTTCTGCAATATCTGGACATTCACTACTAGCACAAAAGTTGTACATATGGTGTGTTAATGTATAGAAAGAGATCAATGTATCATTAAGGCTGTAGGAAATGGGTGTCATCTGGGTCCTATTTTTTGGCTTGTCCATGTGTTTCTGAGAAGATCTAAACATTGGTGGCAGAGTGGAGCACTGTAGCCTGACAGGTGTATACAGAGCCCTTCTTCCACTGTCAACACAACTGAGTGTTTCCTGTTTATATGAGGTTTTAGAGATGGATGGAGTGACAGGGAAGGGATGATGGGCCACCAGATGGAGGTGTGCAAAGACCTGCTATGTCTCAAAAGAGTAGTTGTTTGCCAGGAACTTAGGCTACAGCAAGTTCCACAGTAGTTCTGCAATGTATCTATTTGTTTATATATTCAATTTGTTTGGGATTTAAATGTTTGTTGAATATTTGGCATGTGATTTTTCCACCCCTCCTTTTGAAAAAAAAAAAGTATTTGGCTGTAATATCGCTGTAGGGATGGAAAAGGTCAGACAGTTTCTCGTTAGCAGGTGATTAATTCAATATGATAACAAGCCAAGGACCACATATGAGAATATTTAGCTGCAGCTGCTATGCATAAATGGAGGTTAGTCTGGCATAGACCATAAACTCAATTAGCTAAATATTTGAAATCAAACCCATCTGTGGAAACCTCCAACCAAATAATAACACATAGTCAGCTAAATGTTAAAATAGTAGTTGAATGTGTACAGCTGCACATGACCTCCACAAACCACAGTGAATATTTATTAGTAGTAACAAATTAAATATTGCATTACCTGTCTAAATCCCACCAAATGTTGGATTGGATTGGAAACTAAATATTTAATTCCAACCAAATCCTAGTAGTGGCACTTGTGTGGCTATAGGGATTCAAGACAAAATGTTATATCCCTATATCAAGACATCAATTTGGTTTGAATCCTGAGAAGATGTGTTTTAGATTGTTAATCTATATTTGAAAGATTAGTTAATTTAGCATACTTGCATGCTTTAAACTTCAAGCATACTTGCTATGCTAAAGATAATTGGATTTGCCATGGTTGATTTATGTTTTTAACCCTTAGATGCACGAGTGACTGGACCCTACCCTCTTCCATATGTGGGTCAGAAAGGACCCGTATTAGAATGATATGTGTTTTTATGCCATTTTTGTCATTTTGGTTAAGAAAAATCACTTGTATAATATTTAGTATTATATTTTGGTTCACACTAGAAATATTTTATATTTAATTTTTCACTATTTATAATTTTAGACATTTTTTTTACATTTTGAAAAAAAAACGAAACCCCATAGAAAATGCATGCGGGCCATTTTTGACCCACTTATGGAAGCTTGGGGTAGTAATACAAAAACTACAATTGCTTAAAATGTAAATTTTAAATGTGAATGGCATGATATCCAAAACATGTTTGTTGAGGAATAGCTGGAATATGAAATGATAAAAAAATGTAATTACAAAGATACTTCAAGAACACCACCTCACCGGGTCAAAAAAGACCCACTTATGCATCTAAGGGTTAAGAAAGAAATTGATTCAACAGTTGCATTATTGTTTTGTGATACCAAAATAAAGCCTACTCTGGTGGCTACACTCTGTTGGCTCTCTCTCTGTTTCCCCCAAAGGTTTATATTCTAACTCCACGCTCCCCCTCCCCCTTTGTGAAAGGCCGTTTTGTGTTGCAGTGAGCGGAAAGGAAGTTGCTGGCTTTGTGATGGGATCTCTGTGAAGAAACTGTTGACTCTGTGACCCAGTAAAAAAAAAAAATCTATGTGTTGGTGTTGAGCAAATATTCAGGCTCAGTGTCTCTGCAGAGGTCGTAGTTAAGGCTGTATTTTCAGCTCGGCCTGCACCCACAGTTATGACACAGATCGAGTTCCGGTATCCAAATGAAAGACGTGTACTGTATACTTCCTAGTAGTTAAAGAGTTATTTTTCTTTCTTGAGTTAATATATCCTACCAGACTTGTGGATTGGGAAATATATTTACATGTGTAAACTGTATGTCTGGTCACAAAGGGGTGTTTTGTCATGCCTGAATAGACAGGTTTGAATAGAGCTCAATTAGGTGTGAAAAGCTCAATAATAGAAAACAATGCACAACTGTTCGTCAGAGGGAGCGTAGACAAGTTACATACGCTTGTGTGTACTTCAGTTGAAAGCATGCTTGTTCAGGATGAGCCAGGCTAGCAGAGAATCAATCACTGCACAATGCATGAGGTATAGATTCCTGTCAGACTTGATCCAGCTCTGAGTTCATGCAAAGGCAGGCAACAATAACCTCACACAGTTTTGGAGCCACTAGTTGTAACTGCTCTCCACTGATTGTAAACTGTCAGGGCATGATGGGATTCCTTGCTACTAGCTGATATTAGTACTGATTTGTTTAGTTATTGGATCAACAACTTGTTTGTATGGTTGGTTAGCTTTTACAGTACAGCAGCAGTTTTGGGAGAATAAACACAAACAATCCTAAGGTAAATGTTGCCATTCTTTCTATCAGAACACCCTTCCAACATTCAATATAATACAGGGATTTTAACCAAATATGTCGGAAATTATGTCCTGTAATCCTGTAATCACATATTCCGTACGTTCTTTTCAAAATTGTATTGTGTGGGCTTTGCATGTGTGACAATTAAAAAAAGAAATCCATTATTTCCTTTCCATTTACAAGTCAAGTATATTTGTAAAACCCATTCTTGCATACAATATTTAAAAGGACTTCGCTGATCCAAAACACCACATTCAGCCTAAGATATCAGAGTGGTTCGTCTTACCCACTCTTTTAACAGGAATCCCAGTTAACACCTGAACTTAAAAGATCTCCTTCCTGAAATAGAAGACTTCAAAAGTACATTATAAAAAGATAGACAGATAGATGGACAGATACATAATTTCTTGTCCTCTGTTAGATAGAATAGATTTGTACATCCTTTATACACATAAGAACGGTAATGGCAGTGGTCTTAACGTTCTTACTGTAGTGTGTTTCGTTGAAAGGGATCTATTTTCTATTTTACCTTCTTTCCTTGCGCCCTACCTTTCGCTCCCTGTTTTCCTTTCTCTATCTTTCTCCCCTGTGTTTCTTTCTCCTTCCCCTTTATTCTTCACTTAAATAACATGTTTGCTGTTCCCTCTCTCTTTCCACAGTGTTAGCAGACAACCTGAAGTCCAACCCGGGGATAAAGTGGCAGTACTTCAGCTCAGAGGAGGGTATCTTCACAGTCTTCCCTGCCCACAAGTTCCAGTGCAAGGGAACTTACGAGCACCGCAGCAGGTATAAACCATCTTCATTTTATTGCCAAGCTCAAAGTTACTGCCAAACACAAATACCTTGTCAACAAATATCACTCTCTTGGCAAAGTAACAGTCTGGCTTATCTAAAACAAAGACACATGAACTTGTTCCTGCCCTCCCCCCCACGCCCCCCCCCCCTCTCGTCTCTGTCAGTTGCTGTGGGGTGGCCCAGAGGGCATGTTGGTTGCGTGCCGCCCTCTCACACCCTGACCACACATGCCCCTAGCAGGAATGTGGCTCTGAACCACTAAAGCTTATTGGAATTTCACAGCTTCAGTGTTGTGGCTTTTTTGGTTGCCACGGCTGAAAGACGTGTCGTTCTCTCTTCTTTTATTTCTGTATTCTTTTGTCTCTCTCCTACTTTCTGTTCTTTCTTTTTTTTTGCACTGCCTCTCACTTTTGTTTAGCTTTTTTACATCATGTTTTTCGGATTTCTCTTTCTCTGGCCGTTCGGGTCAGTGAGCTGGCATGCAGCCATGAGAGAAATGGCGTTACTTGGCTTGCTTGAAGAGTGAATGAGGCTTTGTGAGTACATCACTCCCCTTCTCCACCCTGTGTTAATGTCACCTTGTCCAGCAGACCACACACACAGGCGCTGACCAACCAGCCCCCTTCATCACACCAAGCTGATAACATACGTACTTGTACACCAAATATTGAAAATATAGCTCTAAATAATTGTAAAAGTTTTATACCAACTGCACGCTGACAGTGAGCACACATTGTATCTTTTTGCACTCAGGGTCAATGATAATGTCATGCTTTAAATTTGCAGGAGCTGTTAAGTAGTATGTTTGTTGTTTTGCCTGACCTTTTATGCCGCTGTGATCCAAAAAGGCTTGGAAAAGGCTGTGGAAATTGTTTTTTTATTGAAAAACACTAAGCATTTCCAGAATTGTTAAAGCTTTAAAGTTATACAGCTGTAGCAAGTCGTTCAAACATGTTTTTTTCTTTTCAGCAATAACAAATTAAAGACAAAAACATTTTTTTTAACCTCCACACAAACAGAGAAGGGAGGCGGATTTCTTCTGAAAACTGTATAGTGCGGACTGGACAAGAAAATACAACTGACATGATGATGAAGGTTTTTCAAGAGGAAGACCTCTTATCGATGTACAAATGCTGTAACAGTATGTCTTCATTGCCTTGGATTTGTTAACTGTGTAGTCAATGTTTTTGTATTTTTGTGTATCTCCGCAGGCCTGTGTATGTGTCTGCGGTGCGTCCCCAGTCTAAACACATTGTGGTGATGGTGGACCACGGAGCGTCTGTAACTGACACCCAGCTTCAGATCGCCAGGGACTCGGCACTGGTCATCCTCAACGCCGTCGATGAACATGACAAGGTTAGAGGAGGGGAATACATCTCTCTTACCTTGCTTTATTAGGAAGAACGCATTATGTTTAGGGCAAGTTTAGAGAAGCACATATACCTAAACATTTAAATGCAGATAATTTGGCTACCGCTGATAACCTACTGAGTGATAAACAATAATAAATAATAAAAGAGAATCAGAGTACATTGACTGTAATGGAAACCACCTGACTGTGGCTCCTCTTATTTTATGATTGAGAGACCCTTAGACAATGACATATTGTGCTTTGAAATGCTTCACAACTCTATACTAATACTCTTAACATTTTCTTCATTTTACATCTTTATCACTCCATTCCAGATCTCCATTTTGTCAGTGGCAGAGACAGTTCGCACCTGCGTCCTGGACCAGTGCTATAAGAGTCTGCTCTCTCCGGCCACCAGCGAGACCAAGAGGAAGATGAGCACCTTCATCTCCAACATCAAGGCGTCTGATGCAGCCACACAGCACGCTGCGGGCTTCCAGAAGGCCTTCCAGCTGCTCCGAAACACCAGCAGTCTCTGCAAACACAGCTCCAGTAAGAAACGCTGCAAATTAGGAATATCTGTGTCTGTGCTCAGAGGTCAATTCCAGCTCCGGTGCTCTCGCTATTTAATACGTAATCAGCTCTCGTCATGTTATCTAATATCAATTGACGTGTGTTGTGTTTCTGCTTTCAGCCACAGACATGGTGATCGTCTACCTGTCGTCCGGTATCACGTCTCGAGATTCGTCAGAGCAGGAGAAGAGAGCGACGCTCAGTGTGGTCAGAGAGGAGAACCGACACCTCAACAACTCGGTCATGATCCTCACATACGCTCTCATGAACGGTAGGTCACTTATATTTAAGGCTGATGTTTTTTACAGTGGTTTTTAATAGATAAATAGATGTTGTCTTCCTGCTATAAAATAAACAATTCTGCGTCAAGGTGAACCTCAGTATTTTGCTGCAAACTGATCTTTTAAATCAACAAAATGTCTTTTCAAATTTGTATCCAATTTCAATATTTGTATTATTTTAAGATTTATTGGACAAATGAGGTCCAGCAGGGCCCTGCTTGTACTTACAAAAAGGATAAGGGCAGAATTTGTCTTTACAATTTGCAATCTTTTTGATTAAAACCAGATATTTTGACATTATTTGAACATGATATATCGTAATGTAAAATAAACCTAATGCAGTACACTGTTGCGTTCTCTCATACGTCACTTAGTTGTTTGTTAATGTTTTACTTTTGCCTTGGTTGTTTAGAACAGCAGCCAGCTCTAAAATCATATAATTATAGATACATCAAAGAACAGTCAGTTTTAGTCCTACTCACACATTCTCTCATTCTTTTTTTTGCTTTGCTTGGATTTGTTTCCTGTGCATTTTCTCTATATTCTTTGGGATTGAAAGAATATAGAGACAGGAGGTAAGAGAGGTGCTCAGAAACCTCAAAGGCTTTTTTCCCCATGTGTGTTGATGCGGTGTGTATGCTTTCTTTTCCTCTTTTATTGTGGTTGTCTATCCATCTGGCTCCTCTAATTCCCTCCTCCCTCTGCACAAAACACATACACTCACATCCACTGCGCTTGCATTAGTCCACCATTAACACAAATCATTTTTGCATCTGAGAATGGAAATGAGGTACATCTAAGAGAGGAGAGAGTGAGACTTCAAAGGGCACGCTGCTCACTCTGTGTGTGTGTCTGACAGAGGACCCTGGCTGTTTAAAGAGCCCCATGATGAAAAGGATGCAGAAATCTACCGTCCTCTGAGTTTATTAGCATTGCATATCCAAAAAAACATTTGTTTTGTTCCTGACGCTGCTGCACACACTGTGGGTGTGTGTGTCTTATTCCCTACATCCTCTGCCAAATGTGAAGTGCTGATTGTTGAAGGAGATCAGCAGTCCCTTTGCAGTATAAAGCACAGTTGTGTGTGTGTGTCCAGTTTGTGTGTGTTAATGAGTTGTCCACCATCCTCACCAAAACGATGTATGCTAGGCTGAGCAACCTGCTGAATAGTCTGTCAGATAGCATACAATTACGTTAAGACAGACTAAATTAACTTTGAAATCATATTTAATCGAGACATTTAGAAAATCGTTTTTTTGTTGTTGATTTAATTTGATTGCAGTCCCTGTTTTTTGCATTATGGACTAATTTGTATTCATATTTTAATATACATATTATATAGGGTTCTTACGGTCATTAAAAACCTGGAAAAGTCATGGAAATTCAAAATGCAAATTCCAGGCCCTGGAAAAGTTATGGAAAACAATATTTTTCCCAAATTTTTGGAAAACTTATGGAAATGTAACTAAAGTTGCATCAAATATAATTTATATTTTAGCTAATCGCCGAAATAGTAATACTATAATGATAATAAATACTCTATCGTATAGTAATGGAACGTAAAATGTCATTTAACTGACGAGGTATTTTGCTGGTGAGAGATTTGAGTTGCTTTAGCGCGTAGAAGCTAGTAAGCCCACTATTTGATTTGTTTTAGATACAGTAGGCACAATATGTTTTCTATGCAGCCCTTATTTTCCTGTTCCATGTTAAAATACCATTTTCAGTGGTCATTTTTGCTGAGAAAGAGTAAATGTTTTGGTCATGGAAAATTAGGTAAAGGTCATGGAAAATCATTGGTGAAAAAGTGTATGAACCCTGATTATAAGAACTTAGATATTATTACACATATGCTGATCAATGTATCTCCTCTGACTTAACTCTCCAACTGCTGTTTCTGCTTTCGTGCCTCTTAGCTAGGTAGATGGGTAGTTATACCATTATAGCGCATGCTGATTGAGTAAGTGGGTGATGAAGGACTGATTTACTCCCATAGTGATGTTTTAAGGAGTGCTGTGGAAAGCTGAAACACAGACGGGCTGTTCAAGGTTCAGTGATCAACATAACTGTGTTTGCTTAGAATAAATGTATACAAAGATACAATAGTATCTTTCAATGTGAGATTGATCTACAAAATCAAACATTTTATTTACATAAGGATCATTATACCTATCCTATAATAAAGATTGGGAACCTGTGCTGTCAGCAAACGTTCTCCTCTCTGGTGGTTTGACATTGCCACCCATGACGACATTGACTCCCGTCAGTCGCCAAGCGTGAAGATCAGCAGAGCCTCGGCATTAAAGAGGGTTTCTGCTGTAATCCAGTCAATGATTGGATACTGGCAGACACTCAGGGCTCTGTCCTTCCCAATAGGTTGTGGGATGCCAAATGTTCCAGGTGACAGCTGAAGGGGCCTGCTATGGTTATCCATTGTCCTCTAAATGACCTTATGAGGCATGGACATGTAGAGTTTAAAGAGTGCATTAACAACTCAGCTGCATATTTTATTTAAAGCGATGAGGGATTTGCTCATGTCATGATCTCTGAGCTTCACAGGCGACAATTGTTGTTTGGCAGATGCCTAGCATTGAAGGAACAAAGCTATAGAGATCATGACGCAGGTTTACAAGTTGGAGCCTGCATGTATGAAATGTTTCTGTTGCTGATGCCAAACATGTTTGGGAAATCCATGTGGCAATGTATTGTATGAGCTTTGATTATAAGATCATGTTCAGTGAAAGCCTTTTGCTGCCTGACCATGTGAACTGCATGAGGTTCATTTTCTGAATACACCTTGTTTCAATGATGATATCTGCCCTTGTTAATGGCAGGGGTGTGATTTCTTTATTCAGCTCCTTGAACGTTTTGTTATTTACAGCTTCAGGGGAAAGAGAACAGTGGGCTGCCTTTGTATGGTTGGAATTGAAGTCATACACTCTTTATTGACAAGCTAAGCTTTTCAACCACACCCTCCTCTTTTCATTTGCACAGTTGCCCTATTCAATAGGCCTGCATCCATGCCGTCAGTTACTGATTTGTTCCTAATATCCCTGCTTGATTAAATTAAAACAAATTTGACTCGGCCTCCCTATCCTAAACTCAATGTCTCTCTCTCCCTCCTCCATCAGAGGGAGTAACAGGCCTGAAGGAGCTGGCCTTCCTGAGGGATCTTGCAGAGCAGAATTCGGGGAAATATGGCGTCGACCGAGGGTCAGGTCGAGACCGCTCATCTGGGATGCCCTCGTCCGGATCGGCCTCCATGATACCGGTGTCGAAGGGAAGCATGATGGTGCTAAATCAGCTGAGCAACCTGGAGACGACAGTGGGCCGCTTCTACATCAATCTGCCCAATCGCATGATCGACCTGGTCCGATTCAGCCTGCCCTACTCGGACCCCATGGGAGACGGTGAGTGGTGCTCACCCTGAAGTTAAGATCGATTAGAAAACATGAAATCAAAAGTTACAACTTCCTACTTCAGATTTGTTGCAATTGCAAACAGTTTGAAAGGAGGAGTCAGGAAATACCGCCAGGCTAGCTGTTACCCCCTGCTTCCAGTCTTTATGCTAAGTTAAGCTAATTGCCTGCTGGATCAAGGCTCATATTTTGTGTATAGATATGAGAGTTGTATAGATCTTCTCATCAAAGTGAAGAAGTTAATTTCCCAACTTATTGAACTCTTTCTCTAATACAGACAAAAAAGAGACATTCCTAAACGTATCTGAGGTGTTTTATGAACTTTACTTATATTGTTGTTCTTCTTTCTCCAGGGTTTATTATGACCGTGAGTCGGCCGTGTTATTTCGGTAACCTGCTCCTGGGCGTGGTCGGGGTGGACGTGAACCTGGCCTACATCCTGGAGGACGTCACATACTACCAGGACTCACTGGCTTCATACACGTTTCTCATTGACAACAAAGGTCAGTAACATAGATACAGGAAATAATCAATTTAATACAGGACTACTTTCTAACTTCAGGCACATGAAGAGCAGTGTAACCCAAATATGGCTTTAAATCTTGATAATCTGTTCTCTAAATAAAGTTGTTCAAGTCTTATGGGAACTACAGCAAACAAGACATTCACATAGCATGTTGCTTAATTTAAACCAAGCCAGTAACAACAGAAGCAGGAAAGTTCTTCCTACAACATGTGTGACAGACTCCAGTGCCTATTCAAGGTATCAATCTTTGTTAGCCTTAAATTAACAGTCCAAATGTTTGGATGAGAGAGTGTATTATGGTGTTTAGTCTCGCATACAAGTGGAATTACATTTTATTTAGTCTCTTTCAAGTTCCTCAACAGCCATTATCTGTAATTGACATCTTCTTGGTAGCACTGGCACTTCTTTGGCAATCTGTTCTCTGTTCAGTTCATGCCTCGGTGCGTTGCCACGGCGCAGGGCGGTAGTGCTCATGTCAGGTCTCAGTTTGTTTTGGCCTCAGCTGAGGGGGTCTTGCATGATCCGCTGGTGCTGGACAGCTGGCAGGTTGTGCTCAGTAGGCCTGGAGGGCAGGGACGTTAATGGACAGGGTTTTGCTAGATAGCACTATAGCTACATATTGATTCCCCTTAAGTATACTAAAAATACAAATATGGGATAATGTCCCCTCTTTTAGATTTTTGCACATCCAGCCAGCAGAAAAGGAATTTTTTAAGTATTTGTAACTTAAAATCAATAACCAGACGTATTATGTGTATGTTATTTCGGACTGAGAGGTAGTGCCATGTTTAAAAGAGGGAGTAGTGAATGACCTGTAGAGGAAATACTTATGAGGGAGGTGAGGAACGTGGAGCAAATCATAAAACATGGGCAAACTACCAAGTGTTTACTCACCTGAATGGTAATTATTTAGCGTCATCATTTTCTCACTATTAAGCATAATTATTGCAAGTGGAATTTTTGCAGCTGTGTGAGTTTTGCTCCTCTGCTACACTATTCAATGAGTCTCTTTTTTCCCTCTTAAATGTTTGTTATTTTAATAAATATGCCATTCAATTATAGCTTATTACAGAAACGGTGCTTATTAATGCAGCAACAATGAAAACATTGACGACTGAGTCCCATGTAATGTTATTAGCTGGCATCAAACCGTCTGCTGGCAATTAGCCTGTAAGTAAATACAATTAGGCAAATACACGGCTGACAAGTGGTTTCCGGACCTGGAAATAAAAATAGCACAGGAGTGAATTGGAAATATTTTGCATGGGAGGCATTTATCCTTTTCAATGTACGTATATATCTCTCTATGACTTATATACATACTCTGGCCCTTGTGCTGTCGTTTGCAGTGTGAGGACAGAGATGCCTTTTTTAATACAGCAAATGAAACACGACACAAAGCAACACACTCCCTCTTTGAAAGTGTATTAGGATGGTCTTAAAAACAACAGCACATGATTTAGTTTGTTTACTTCGCTCAGAGTGGATCAGCAATCCAGTACCTTGAGGGCTTTTTGGCTCTCCTAAAATGATGCTGCTAAGAGCTGAGTTTATTACAGCACTACACTCCACCAAGCAAAAAACAAGAGAGTAATTCTTCACTCCGAAATAGTAGACAGGCATATGTTCTATTTACTTTAAATGTACTATCTGTCCTTGATGTCAAGGTTTTGATCAAATGTTTTTCTAAAAAGGCAACTCTATAATATGACTGGACTTTGACAAACAAGTAGTTATACCAAAGCGTCTTAAAGATACTTTTCTTTCTGGTTCCTGAAAAAGAATAGTTTTAACAGCTTTGGAGCTCTTCTAACATTCAGGTTGTATGTTTAAAGTTGCCAGAATTCAAGTCAATTGGACTTTAAGTGACATTTAGGGTTTGAAGCAAAAATCTAGTTAGTAGTTACTCTTTTTCATGATTTTATTTGTCGCATCAACAAGGATTTCACCGTGTATAAAGAGACTATGACTTAATTTGCAGAGTTATATAGTAAGGATTGCATACTTGATTGTGGTGTAAGAATGCCTTGTTTGACAGTGACCAAAGAAAACACTGCTGCTCTGTTTTAATGTTATATTCATACATTGGCCGTTTTAGGATGTTGTGTTATTTTTCAGTATAAACACAAATTAATGATGTTATGAATTGCTTTGTGATTTTCCAGGTTACACCTTGATGCATCCATCTCTCACACGGCCCTACCTGATGACAGAGCCTCCCCTGCACACGGACATTATCCACTACGAGAATATCCCAGCATTCCCTGTTGTGCGGCAGAACATCCTCAGGTAAGAGACGTTACCTTCAAAAGACAGAAATTCACCCATTGATAAATACATACATATCGTATGTTTTGGTGTTTAATACTGTGTGTTTCTTGCAGCCTCCCTTTGGGCAGTCAGGTCATTTCTGTCCCAGTCAACTCCTCTCTGTCCTGGCACCACAACCGACTCCGGGACAACAGCAAGGACGCATACAACGTCAGCTACGCCTGGAAACTGGTAGGTGTTTGTATAAACCTTGTAGAAACTCAACACTCGTGTTCACTGGTGACATCAACATTCACAGTTTAATCTTTAATGCTATGTGAAATAAAAAGCCATTAGAAGTAGCACATGTTTTTCAAAGTTCCCAAACAAAGCTACAAAGACTGTTAGAACAAAAGATGCTTATGATGAGATTTATGCCTCCAGTCTTTCTGTCTCCAGCAAAACTCTGCCACCTAAAATTGTAATAAAAACCAAGTTCTCCCACACCCAAAAACCCTCAAATATGCTTTCCCTCTCTGGCCCAAAGGTGTCATGTTTTGGAACAAATGACAACAGGACAGCAATACCATAATGCCAAGTATTTTTACATTTAGAAATGTGGCATTAGCAAAAATATCACTCTTGATTAAGGTATTTCCCTTTGAACCTATACAAATATTGTTGTGTTTTTTTTTCATACAGTCAGTTAAGCCACGTCACATTTTGCCATGAGTTTGGAAGCTTTGTCTGTTTTTTTAAATCACGTTTAAAGAGCCAACAATATGTCGACATTGGCCACAAATGAAAAATCCAGACGACAAAAACTGTCTAGGGAAATCCTTTTATAGCATACCACGTCTCTGTGCTTGTGACCAGAATTTAGACAAAATGTCTCCTTAAAACTAGCAGCTAAGGTCATTTTCTCCTATTGTCTCTCCAGTTATCAGAAGCTTCTGTTTTTTTTTCCTAATGTCAACTAATTTAATGAAAGTACCAAAACCAACAACTTTCTCCTCCTGCTAATAAGTATTTGCGGCCAGCACTTGGTTGACCAAAAACAGTTTAATAAACCTTCAACATTATTGCACTGGATGACTACATGAACATGGGCACCGTACTGTAGTTGTTTAGGTCAATCCCACATGCACTGTCCTGCTTCCAGAAATACACACATACCCATTGGTTATAAAACCATGGTTGAAAAAGGTCAAACAATTGGCAAATGCACTATTCACCCACTATACAAACCACAGTGCCCAGCTGCTTGTATTGTATTAACAAGTCTAAAAATGAAAGTATGTGAATAATATCATCAGCCTTAATCCTCCACTGTCTTCTGTCTTCTAGGTTCAGGACACGTCGTTCATCCTGTGCATCGTGTACGTGCAGCCGGAGATCCCAGTGAAACATCTGAAGAACCTGAACACAGCGCCCAGCTCCAAGCTGCTGTATCATCGCTTAGACCTGCTGGCTCAGCCCAGCTCCTGCCTGCACTTCAAACAGCTTGCCACAGTTGGTGAGGAGAAAGACACTCATTTATTATAACTTGGGAGTGAAAAAGAAGTCTTCAAACTTTATTTTTATCCATAGTCAGCTCTTAGACATTTATAACCATCTCTGACTGTCTCTTTTTGACCTTTTCTGTCTCTTTCACAGAGTCTCCCACGGTGATGTTGGCAGCTGGAAGTTTCTCCTCTCCGTACGAGCACCTCAGTCAGCCGGAAACAAAGCGCATGGTGGAGCACTACACCGCCTACCTGAGTGATAACACCAGGCTCATAGCCAACCCAGGCCTCAAGGTACTTAATGATATAGACATAGATATATCTCTAGGCTAAGACCAGCCAGTGGGCACACGTGGGGTTAATGTTGTTTACCTCACAAACACCTGGCACACGTCCAACCCTGCGGTCAGGCTTCAGGCATGTACACGTACATTCACATTCTGCATCAAGGATGTAAAAACACAATTAATGAGTCCCATGATAGTTAGTGTTACGATTTAAATGCAACTTTCTTTCAACATTTGGCAAGCAACTTTTCAGGCAGCTTACATTATACCTAAAATGCACACATTTATAATGAAGCTCTGCACCTTTAAGAAGGAGGAAAAGCCCCCACGTGGTTTTGGCAGTGTGTGTGCATTCCTATCCTGGGGGGAGTTAGGGGGTAAAAGTTTGAACTGTAAGCCCCAGTCCCAGCTCTGTTTCCCAGGCTAGTCTTAAAGGCCCCCTCCGGTGACCTCATCACCCCTTTCAAACTAAGATGCCTCTCTGTAAATGGCACTGGGATGTGAATTTTCTGGGTGTTAGCAGGGCTTTAGGGCTAATAGTCCTATTTATTCCTAAATACTGGTGTTCTATGCCTTGACTATTGGGATTTTTGAAATATTAAAATGACAAATGACTATCTTAAACGGGAATACAATAGAATCACTTGATGTTTAGGGGTGTTCGAACGGGGAGAACCTTTCACTTTCTTTCCCATTTTGTTAAATGGTAAATTGGAGGCAAACTTTAAGCCAACTTAATTTCAAGGCAAACCCCTGATATAAGACTAAAAGCTTCTTTATCAAATGCTCAACTTTTTCTCTTCTTCGTGTTTACACCCTCCTTCTTTTTCTCTCTTTTTCCTCCCCTCACTGTCCCTCTTCTCTCTCTGTTTCTCCCTTCATCCTTCTGCAGTCCTCTGTCAGGAACGAGGTTATGGCGACCAGTCACGTCACGGATGAGTGGATGACACTAATGGAAATGAGTAGCCTCAACTGCTACATTGTGCGCCGTTACATAGCAACGCCCAGTGGGGTGCTCCGGATTTACCCAGGATCACTGATGGACAAAGCCTTCGACCCGACCCGCAGACAATGGTGAGGCTTACTTTGGAGAGTGTGAAGGGGTGTGTGGGTGGGTGTGTGTGTGTGTGTGTGTGTGTGTGTGTGTGTGTGTGTGTGTGTGTGTGTGTGTGTGAGTGAGTGTGTGAGAGAGAGACAGAGAGAGAGAGAGAGAGAGAGAGAGAGAGAGAG